CAAAGGTAGTTACCTTACGCATAAGATTGCCTCGTCGATAAGGTGATTACACAGTTACCCGTTACCCCTTCTAGTAACACTCATTTAAATCAAAGGTAGTTACCTTACGCATAAGATTGAACTTGAAGTTTCACAATTTCTGCCACTTTTGTTTTTTTAAATTTAATTTGATTATCAGACATAATACAGATTTATCAATAATAAATTACAATCATTCAATTAATTCAATCTGCAGTAGACCAAACTAACTTTGTACTCCGGTCGTCAACGCTTTTCACAATGATTTTTGAAATTATTTTTGTTTTTCAGATTTTACTCACTTAAATATATAAATTATTTACTAACTAATTAATTTACTTAGAATCAATGAGAAAGAAAATGGAGAGGACACGTTTCGTAATTTATTATAATCGTCTAGTCATCTACTTTAAAGAATACGTATTCAATATTCAAAATAACCATTCGTTAGTATTATCGATATTGCTATTATCTCTGCCCACTAAAATTGTCTGGACATCGTAAATGTATTCAAATGGTATAATCAAAAATTGGTTCCTTTGTTCAAAATAGAATGAATGACAATACAACTACGTAGGTTTTATAAAGTTTTTATTCGTCGCAATGTCTCTTTTACCACCTACAATTATTACAATAAAAATGTAAATTATTTTTATATACAAATATACAATATACAAAAAGGCACGATATATCTACACACTTCAGTTCATATACAGAGGGAGAAAATTACGATTCTTTTTTTCAGAAAAAAACTAAGACATGCCCGTAGAAAAGTTTAAAAAATTTAATTTCTTCTCATCGTAATTTGATTACTATATTTTCACTTCGCAATCATTTTCACTCCATTTCATGAATTTTGTATACTTATAAAAACTCATAAAAACGATACAAATCGCGTATAAATTAATAAGGCATTTTACAATAATCGAAATATTTTACAAAAAACTGGATGAGTTTTTACGTATCACTTTTTTTTACATGCAAAAGTGTAAAATTTCCATAAAATCATTTCAATTTTGATTCAAAAGGTCTCAGAGTTTGTCATGATTAAATTTTTCTTCTACGCCTAGATCTCCATTTTTCCTTCAACACATTTTGTGTTCTCCGATCAAGAAAAATGTCTATAGCGTATTGCATACCAAATGGATGAACGGCTAAATTACACCTATTCAGAAATTGATGTCGTTTTTTTCTACGACTGGTGGTAGAAAAATTATTTATAATTGTTTTTTACCGGCAGCGACATTTGCATATTTTTTAAGTTTTTTTTCCACGTCCTGTAAGAATATTTTGAATATTTGATAAATCCCTAGAAATTCCTCCCATTTGATAGTTTATAATATTAAATTCGAATGTTGTGAAAAAGTGATCAATAGCGACAAAAACACTGCTCCATTGGCTTTGATAGGCTCTTGAGATAATGCAAGACCTAGTTAGTTCCTTTATGGATATCTATCGAATATTTTTTTCCCAATCTGTAATTTTTAAATCAATCTTGTTTATAATACCAAATTCGAAAAAAAGTTGAATTCAAACAGTTTCCATCAATGGTGATTATTACATGTTTTGTTGGTATCTCTTGCAGTCAAAGGACGTATTCTGGGCTATCACATATGTTCACACGGGTGCCAGCTTGTAACAACTGGTTAATGAAAAACTACTAAGAAAGATTTAACGGATATACATTGTGACAATTTCAATCTTCTAACTTTTTAGTTTACTAAAGTTTCGGATTTTCAGCCATCTGGAGATGAACAAAAAATTATTCAAAATATTCTTTTAGTCGGTAGAAAGTGGTAAGCTTTCACGGCTCTTAAGTCAAATTCAAATGTATATAGAGGTGTAGTTATTGATATAAACAAAAAGAAATTGATATCTCTGAATTCAGCAGTCAACAAAATCTTGATAATCAAAATAATTCCAAAGATTGAAAAATTGGCTTCTAATCGTGAGAAAAAATTGGATCAATTTCTAAGTAATTGAGTATCAGTCTTCCACCCACTTGAGCAGAAATACTTCTATAAATACAAGATATGAATAGAAATTATCATTATTCATTCAAAAAATTCTCAACCAGATTCAAAACTTTCGTGGGAATGTAAAAAATATATACTATCTTCTATTTAATATTATATGATGGAAAAATTCCCTCATTTCAAATTCTCAATCAACTGATCTTACAATTGAGATGGAAGAAAATCATTTGATTTCTTTGGTTTTAATCCACAGGTTCGAAGAATAGTATATTGCTCACCTAGGGAGGAAAAGTAGACAAGTCCTTCCCACGTGCAAAATTACCACCCGAGCCGAAGGCGAGGGTGGTATGCACGTGGGAAATGCTTGTCTGATTATCCTCCCGAGGGTTGCATACGATTTTTCTGTCGATATGCGGCGAAAGTGACGTTTCTAACCGAACGAAGTGAGGTTAGAATACTCACTTTCGGTGCATGTAGGCAGAAAAAAATTAAATGAGCGAAAAAATGTCGTTTTTCAGTTGTTTGGCACAAGAGATTGATTCGATTCTTAGATTCGTATAAATACTTTTCGAGATTCCAGTAGTATGTATTAGAATAAAATGAGTGAATTTTACCCCATTTCGAATAACTTGGAGTAGAATTTTCTGGTGCAAATCGCACTTTTTCTTTTGGATGCCTTAAAAATAAAGTTTATCTTTCGTTGACGATTCAATGGAAAGGCCGGGAATCTCGCTATTACACGCAACTACGGATTTTGTGAATAGAAAATGAAAACTTGCAAATAAGTTCTGCAACCACCATATTAACCAGGAGTAATAATGAATGAAATGTAAAAAGAAGTAAGAATACATGAGACACGATAATACTGATTCACTTTCGTTTAAAATGAATGATGAAAAAGAAAATTATGAATTTGAATTAATGAAACCTGGTAATTAACAATTGATTTTTAGTTTATTTCGCGTAATTATTAGTTTGTTACTTTCATGGATTCATTGTTTACTAATTATTTGTCTCGCTCAAGTAAGCATAGAGTGAAGATAAATGGATGAGAACATCTTAATAGCATAAATTAATAATGTAATTAATGTGTACCAGCGTAAAATGAACACAAAACTGGTGTAGTGCACATTTTCCGTCATCAATTTTCCTTTTTCATTTGGTTCTTATGGCATGGTTCTAGTATTTGGTTTCTTCCTCTTGTTAACATCATTAATGAATCAACGATTAATTTAATCATGAATGATTAAAAAAAAATATATTCCACTACAGAAAAATAAATTAAACTTTTCATTAATTTTTATTATTTTCATTTGATCTTATAGCACGATCAAATCGATTATAATTTTTTTTATTTATATAAATGTTAAACATGAGAAAAAATATTTGAGCTGCATCTGTTTCGCAAGCTAATCAATCAATAACGTGAATGAAAAATGGATCTTTTTCAAATAAATATGCATATTTCCATAGCTATTGAACAAGTGAAAAATGAAAAAACTGCAAAATGATCATATACAAAGTTTTCTTCGTCTCTTTTCCGAAGTAGACATAAAGTAAATCCGTTTTTGAAGTACATTTTTATAAAAAAAAATGTTTTTCAATTACCAAAAAATGTGACTGATTTTCAAAAGTTCTACAAGCAGAAAGTAATTTTTAGGAGACCTTAGTGTAGAATAGTATATTGTGCACCATGGGAGGAAAACAGGGCATTCCAACCCGCGTGGGTATTACCGAACCGAGGCGAAGCCGAGGGTGGTAACCACGCGGGTTTGAATGTCCTGTTTCCCTTCCGCGGTGCACATTGTTCTTTCCGTCATGGCTACACGGAAAAGTTCGATTTTTCTTCGTAAATGAAGGGAGGAATGTGGGTTATGTTATCCCGAGGATGCTCAAAAACAATAGAAATCCGAGGGAGAGAATAGGCCACTTTCTTCCCGTCATTTGGGGAGTAAAATCGAACTTTCCGTGTAGGTATGACGGAAGTGCATTTTTAACAAATGAGCAGTGAAGCTTGTGTGAGACCAGCAAATACAGATTATTGTAAAATAAAAAAAGATCGAACGAACGATCAATGTGAATCTTCTGATTTTTTCATCGGTCTCGAGCTTTTCCCTTTTTCTTGTTTACTGGGTCTTAACCCTCAGATTTCTGCTTCTTTTCACTCAATAATTCAAATGGTAACATTGTCGTCTTAAAGTTTATCAATTCGATCACTTTTAATCGATATTTTTCCAGAACTAATTATTATTTATTTAACACAATTTCGTCTTTACAGAAGATTCTGTTCTAATGTTCATGTAATTGCTCCTATTGCAAGCAATTTCCTCTCGTCGGTAACGAAATATGGCGTTTAAAAACAGAGGGCCATCGGATTTTCTTTTGGTTTGCCGATAGAAACATCAGATTGCAGTGAATTACTTTTCATAGTAATTTTTCGCTAAGGTTTGAGAAATTGAAATTATGTATCAAGGAAGGATTCTACTATAAATTTTCTGACGATTCACGTTCGATTAACAGTATAATATCTATTCCTCTAATGCTATTTTTCATAGACTTATGGGGCTGAAACTGAAATTTATTTTGATTAGAATCATGGAACTCTGCGAGTTTTTACCCCGTATAAGGTAAAATAGTTTTTTGTAGTTACTTCAAAATTGTGACTGCATTTGATAGTCTCACTCAAGTCAATGTCATTTTTTAAAAGAGGTACCTACATTATTTGCAATTTTTCGGACTTCTGAAACTTTATGGTTTCCACAATATTTCCAAGCGGCCGAACGCCGTCAATAAATATTCATCAGACAATTTGTCAGACATTGTTAGACACTTGTTTTCATCGTTTCCCTACTTAATTATTGGTGTTGTATATAAAAATGTAATAAAAATCTATAATATGGATGCATAATCCGGCAGTTATTGTTTCTTTCGTTTAGATTACAGAACTATCCAGATTAAATATCTAAAATTTGGAAGTGAAAAATGTCCTAGATATATCGTTTACTTCATAGCGTAGTTTTTTCCTTTCTCAGATGTTCAATGTTTCAGTATACTTTTTCTGTACTCAATATAGTAGTAATTTATGTACAAAATTCGGAAATTTTGAATATTTACGAATTGAATGGAATGAAGAAAAAAAATTGTGGTACGGAATTCGAATTTCATATCATTTATCGTTTCCATCCAAACAATCATATATATCAGTTTTTTTTTCTACGTCGCAACGTGATCAGCATTTATTGTAACATGAGAGACTCCAAATTTCTGTGTAAAATGGTATCTTTAACAGCATTGAATACAACTTTAATATTTTCCGTATCAACAGCTGTTGTAAAATGATGGAACAGGGATTTACGTGGATCACGTTTAACAGATATGAACATATTGAGTATAAAGCTCTGCACGTCTTTAATGGAATGTGAATCACCGTTAAATTGTGGAAAATACCAACTTACATTAGTGTCCGACGATTTAACTTTTTTCTCGAGTAGATCAGTTTTGTTGAGGAAGAGAATTATCGATACACCACCGAATATCATGTTGTTTACTATTGTGTCGAAGATGTTTCTTGATTCTTCGAGTCTATTAGTTCTCCTGTGGACGATAACAAAAAAACATTTTTTCAGCCATTCCAAACGTTTCATGGATTTAACTTCATTGAGATAAGGGACTAAATATTTTAAGTATGCAGTTACAAGATAATTACTTATTTGCAACGTTTTTAGACCATTTTATTCTAATCTTCTAAGTTTGACTTCTTCAATTCACCAATCATTCCCACATTGAAATATTCGAATGAAATTACGACTTGTAATATCATAGTAAGTTCAAAAGGATCAAATATGAAAACAACTTAAGGAGGTGTGACTTCCTTGGCTTCGATTAGGGGTGAAATTTCTTTTCGTAAAAGTTATCCCTCTGATTACTACGCACAATTTTGGGCATGTCGGTATAAGTAATTGATTATTTCTCTGAAACATATTTTCCGTCGATTTGGGACTTGATATTATGTGATATGTTGAAGGAAAAATTTCCACCTTGGACTATTCAAATTCGTACACGAAAAACAATGCGATAAGTATCTCTCCAGTTACATGATAGAATATTTCTATACGGTTTTTTTTAAGCAAACAATCGTAAGAAGTTTTGATGTTCAAAAAATTCCAAGGCCTTAGGACGAGGAAGTACGCTGCAAAACTGGATTTTTGAAAGTTGACATTTTCATTTCTTTGGAACAAACCTTTAGGTCAGAGGTGGGCGACCTCAGCTCCTCGGAGCTACTCCAGTTCCCGACCCCCATTAGGCAACATTGTCCCAAGCACTGATCTCTATATAACTCTATATAGAGAGCAGTGGTGATCACCCTCCATTGGGTGATGCGCATGCGCAGTCAAGGGCACGGTAGTACTCGAGCTACTATTCTGAGGCGCTGCTTGTCGTACAGTACTGCCTCAGTGTCAGCGTAGTGGGGGCATAGGGATAGTCTATCCAGTTATATAGAGATCAGTGGTCCCAAGCCATAAAGTTTATGGCTCCATCCCATTGATCTCTATATCAGGCATGGGCAATCTCCAGGTAGCTCGGAGCAGAGCCATAAACTCGAATTAGAAATCCAATAAAGTTTACAACCATTTCAATAATAAGGGTCTTAGTACTAGCATAGTGGGGGCAGTAGTGGGGGCTTCACAGGTACTAAGGTGGGGAGTATCCCATGAAGCATCTGGCAAGAATTTATCCTCCGGAAGGGTAAAACTTGTCGCGCATCTGATTATTTTTTAATGCACACATGAAAAAAAATTGAAATTTTTCTGATCGACTTATTTCGCTGCTTTTCCTTTACTTGAGTCTCATTTCTCCTCTTTTCCTTTTCTTAAGCGTCACCCTCACTTCGGTTGATCTCAGCGGAGGAGAAGGGCCTTTACGATCTGGGTCATAAAGGCCCATCACCCGATACAATGGGCTTTCGTCAACCCTTTGTTACGCACTAATAGAGGTCGGGAGCACGACTTGCTCTCAGAGCAGAGTTTGCCCAGCCCTGCTCTATATAACTGGATAGACTATCCCTATGCCCCCATTACGCCCACACAGCAGTATGTAATTAGCCGCAAATTATTAACAATTACAAAAACGAACTCATACAATCGATTGTAAATCGTTCGCAGGTGATAGTAAAAAAGATCATAATGTTTAAGAGTAGATAGTTTTTTTATAAAAAATAAAAAACTTATGACCCATGTAGTTAGCCGCATTTTTTTTTCTAATCACTCTTAAATGATTTTTTTTATTGTAATCGTTTGCAATTCGTTTGTAAATACTATATTCATTTGAATCGACGTTTAAGAGTCATTAGTCTGGAAATTATCAGCAATAAACGTGATTGCAAAATTGCGTGGAGGGGATAAGACTTTGCAGTATGACGGCGCATGCGCAACTATTCAGAGGATTTTTCTGTTATACGTTCAAAAATAGATTAATGTCTTTCTCACTTTAATTTTGAAAGATTTCACTACGGCTGTCTTTTAATTGAACATTGAGTGACACATCGAAACCATTATCATTAACACTTCTGTTTAACAAAAAAACGTAAGTATTGAATTCAAGGTTTTTGCCTAACCCTAACTGGGTTTATGAAATTAACAGCATAAGCTGTAAGCTTGGGTGGGAATAACCAGGGATTACTCAAACGATAATTGTTCTCCAAATGTCACCCATTAGTGAACAAGTTATTATAATTATTAATGTACTTACAAAAAGTACCCAACTTTTGTTCCAAACAATATTTCAATTATAATTTCAAAATTACTTCAAGAAATCTATGAAAGATACGAAATCTTTTTTTATAAAGACGAATAAAACCAACCAATAGCCAATCAAAAGGATACCAACAAAAAAAACAATAATTGAAAAAATATTTCCATTGGAGAAATAGAACATTTTTCTATTTCATTTTTTCTACCACCAGGTTTCTGCCGAATATCCCCATTACTCTTGCCTACGTGCAGGGCATCATGGGCCCGAAGGGGATGGAGACATAAACTTTATAGCTTGGGACAATGTTGCCTAATGGAGGGCGGGAGCTGGAGTAGCTCCGAGAGCTGAGGTTGCCCACCTCTGCTTTAGGTTATCCATCAATTTTAGATACTTCAGCAAACTTCACACTTATGAATAATTTTGAAACATGCTATATTGGATACATTGAAAAATTATTACCGAGGTTTCGAGAAATTTAACCAGCCCATTGTTAAGATTAACAAAGTCAAATAAAAAAAAATAAAATTTCGACGTTGAACGCTGCATATGGAAAAAAACGTAGACGGCAAAATGCTTAAACTTTTGAGACTAGTATTTCCATATACCAAATAATAGATCGTCTGAATTTCTTAGTACTAACATATCGATAAATTTGTCACAAATGCAAAAACACTGCAGTACTGATGCAAGGAATATTATTGATACATACTCTGACTAAAATTACCCGTACTGGAAGTTAGTCTAGTGATCTTATTGTAGATCATGAATTAAAAAAGAATATATGCTTTCCATTTGGAAGACCATCTTACCTATCTTCTAATAAAACCTGGTCGAACTCTGATGATGAAACGAGAAAAAGAATCGATGTAACACAGTCGAAGCATTGATACCACTTTTGCCTCTGTGATCGTTGTCCCCCAACATCCACAAACAGAAACGGTATATTATTTATTGGAATAACAAATTCAGAAATTCCTTTCGTTGCCTTTCTGCAGTGTAATATATCTTGATGTGTTGGCACATATTCCTAGAAAAACAAACAGCAATGAATATATGTAAAAAACAAATCAACTAAAAATTAAAAACTAAAACTAAAACACTAACCGTCCGGTGAAAGATATGGGACAAAATTCAAGCAATAGATTTACGTAACCATTATTATAGTTTCTTCTATTTCTAGATCTATTCATTCGACTGTTTTATAACAATTATCAGAAATGTCGGGTAGATCAATATAGAATTTTTAAGAGGTATTGACCTTAATAATAGTAGTAGAGTAGTAAGTACAAGTGAATTTAGGATAAAAAATCGGAATATTCAAATTTTTTGCGGAATATACAATTCCGCAAAAACTTGCGAAATACATTTTGATTGCATAATTTGCAACGACTATTTTGAAGGAAACCGAATTTGTTGGATAGCGTTTCAAATAGTGATTAAAATAGTTTCATACGAAATAATATATATATACGAAACATATCCAAAATAATAATATTCCTGTGATAACTTTACTGACTTTGCGTATTCACTAAAGCAGTCTTTAATGTTATAAAAGCTGGAATTATCCTAAATTTCACCTTTCCATGTGAATGTTTTCTAAAGGCAATTATGCTAATAATGGTTTCATTTACAAACTGAAAAACGGAAATTACTAATCTATCTGGGCATGTATGCGGTTATGTGAGAGTACCACGCAATAGAGTAATTTTGGAGGTAAATCAATTTAGATGACATTGTAGTATTTCAAAACCTAATAAAATAATTAGAGTTCCGTTGCATTAGTTTTTCAAACGGTATCTAGGTTTAATCAAATTTCAATGTCATCTGAAATATTCATTAATCCGTCTGAATTCGCTCAAAGAGCATTGCGTCATTTTTGAAGGTCAATGTATACCAGAGCATACTTCTTGTCTGCAATAAATATAGAAAAATTTTTTGGACCTTATGATGGGGTTCATACCAGTCGCGTTCCCGTCGCGAACCTGGGTAAAGCAGAGAGCTGATATGATTTCGTATAAATAATATCCAGTATTTGAATTTAAGAAATTTAAATGTAATATAAATTTTTAAAAATGTATATCTCTAGAAGAGAGAAGGAGTGGGAAATGCCGTTCACCTACCGAAGCCCCCTCTTAACAAAGAGATGACTTGAAATGCGTAAATCCAAAAAAGTTCAAACTTGGGCGTTCCGATACATAAACAACAAGGATCTTGCTTAGGGAGTATCCCCTTGATCCTTGAGGGAATTTTTCTTCAAAAGTCCTGCTTGGTGTACACTGACCTTTTTGAATTTTCAATATGTAAAATTCTACTTCCGGCCACCATATTTTATGGAAATTATCACAAAAGTTTGCTGGATTGACATACGCGCCGACCATTTTTGAAATTTTCGATTTTCAATTAAACGAGAGCAGATGAAAGTTGACTTTAAAATTTCTGAAATCACAATTTCAAGAGGGTGGAGCTTCATATTGTTTTCTAAGTTTTCCATTACGGCAGCGGTGGCTATGATAAACTATTGATAGCAGGGTTGTCTACATTGAGAGAACAATTTTCTCCTTATTGTTGATGTCCAATTCATCATTTCAATCAAACATCTTAATCAATCATTTGACTCGAGATACAGGCGTGTTTAAAATATACGTACGAACGGTAAATAAAAAGAAGAAAAATTTCTGAACATTGAAGCCTGCATGGACCATCTGTCAAACGTGATCTTTAGTTTAAATTTAATCTTGTTAGCCTAAAACGTATTCAAACCTAGGATTAAATTTGTACTGGAGAAACCACTCCAATAGTTATAACAAGATCATGAGAAAAGGAGGACAAATTGTTGAAGACGGGGCAAGTCTAGATCTTCATTCCAACGTATCTGCCAAGTTTACAGAAAAATAATTAAACATACGCAACTTACGCAAATGCCATCAGAAACAGTTGACGGCCCGTTTTGATCTTATATTGTGATTGGTATTATTGGCGGCTAGTAGACTATTTGTTTTTAATTATTTTTCAGTGAACTTAGAAGATCCCTTGGAGTCAACATCTCCATTTGCTCCCTTGGAAGAATTTTTTCGCTTCTTTTAAAATTGTTTTCTTCTAACAATTGGAGTGATTTCCGCATCATAAATTTAACCCCAGCTTTCAATATATTGCAGGCTAGCAAGATTAAATTCAAACTAAGAATCATATTTTATAAATAATTCATGCGGGCCGTAGAATATTAATTTTTACTGACATTACGGAATTAATTGAAGAGGAATTACATCTTTACAATAACTTATACGGATAATTTACAGTGACCAATGAACATATAAGAGTTGTTCACTTTCGAGATCCATGAAAACGTGATCACCGTAACACCGGCGGTCACAATTAGCGGCTGATAGTTTCTAAGGCTTGAGAGACAATTATCATCTATATTAATTTAATGATTTGTCATGATAATCCAAGATAAAAACCCTTGAAATAAAATCTGACGTCCCATCGCGGTCTCAGGTCTCGTTGTCAAATAATCCACCGCTCGGTACGAGCGCGAGGTTGATCGTGGACCGATCTGTTATTGTAAATCAGTTATTTACAATTTTTACTGTACTGAGACTACTTCTCAACATTCATTAGGAGCACTTCAGGTAAATTGAAATTTCTTTTTGATTTTTGGAGATTACACATTTTGGAAGCTACACACATTTTCGAACGTTATTTTTCGCATGATGTGGTACCAAATTACAAATTCGAGAATTTATTGCAAACAGATCTTGGGCGAAAATGTAACACTAAAAGGCAAGATTGGTCAAATATTCCCTAAGACCAAATCACATTTGTAAACTCATATACAGATTTCCCTTTAAGAATGTTCTGCACCCCTATATGATGTGTTTCTGTAATGAGAGCTTACCTAACCTGAGTAGTGTTGTCGCCACATCTACTGATTTTACACGTAATTAATTAATTTCAGCATATATAGCTCATGAATCAAAATTCTTCAATGTTCTTTCACATCTGTATATAGAGCTCAAAAAATTTAATGAACAACTCATCGTTGAAATTGTTAAAACTAAGAAAAACCCGTGTCATAAGACTCAATGTTAATCGTTGAAAAAGAGGAAAATTAATAACTATTGTTCTGGTTCATTCGCGCTTCCACAAATTTAACTAAGCAATTTTTGCATTAAAGTCTATTTGTACATCGATTTTCATTAAAATTTAATCGTTGCTTCGACATACGAGTACTATGTAAGGGGGAGTTTTACTACCCTAAAGTTGTGTAGTGTAGAATTTTTTTTCGACAGTGTTCGTTAAATTTTTGGTTGTGAATATTTCAAAAAATTAGTTACAAAATAAGCACTTTCCATTTGCGGTCGGTGTTTCTAAACTTGAGATAGAAATTTTCGAAATTCGAGACATTTAACATATTTAAATAGAGTTTCACCGATTACAATTTTTTAATAATCAAGGGCTCGATAGTTTTTAAACCTAAAAAAATGGAATGTAAATCGTGGGAAAGAATACAGAAAAAAAATCAAATCGATTGACCATTTGGTTTACGCGATATAATTATCGAAAATTCATAAATTTATATACTTGAAAATAGTTAATATGGAAAATATATAGTTATGCTTTAGCTATTCTTACACAGTGCAATCAATCAAGTGGGACTATATACCGTCAAAAGATTGTGTTTTCAACTTGCCCGTTTAACAGCGGATAAACTTTTTGCAGAGACAATCACGCGACAACAACCTTAATAAAATTACCGTTTTTTTTTCTAAAGCGAAGACGTAAATCGGAGAGATTCACCGTTTTCGCATTTTATTGCTTTTTCACGACAAAAATATCTTGATCGTGCAATAATTTTCAGGTGTTTTTTCTCAGCTTTTTAGAAATTGAAAAAACTTTAGAAAAAGCACAGGAAAATTATTGCACGCTAATGAAACTGCGTTAATCATGAAATAATGACAAAATGCAAAATATCATATACTTTCGTTGGCTCATTTCGATGAATAATTTGTTAGAAACCTAAAGAAAAACTGTAATTTTGGCTAAAAACGGGTATATTGTGTTTAGATTAGGGTTTTCTCGAAATAACTGAGGGCGGAGCGCCGATTCAGATATAACGACGAAGATGGGAATATCCGAATTTTTTTGCAAAATTTCCGTTGTTTACCGGAGGATGTCTTTGGTCTAGTCACTTAGACTCTATAGTGGTTAATGCGCTGATTTCCAAGCGTCACATGGGCAGCGGGGATTTGGGTCCCAGTGATGGAAAAGATTTTTCATGGCCGGAAAACGAACTTGTACCTTGTGCTATTACTGTAAGTTAACTAGAGGGAAGTCGGGTGAATGAATTCAACTGGGGTATCGCGGAGGTACTACTGGGATGGATTGGTAAAAGGCCAGTTAAGGTCACAGCATCTGGCATCACCCATTTATTATTTGAATGCTCAATTATAACAATTGACCATTCCGAATTTTGGAATGATTATTGAAGAATCTTGCTGAAGAATGGTGGAAAATGATAACTTCAAGGGTTTTGTGTCGGTAGCAGATTCTACATCTCCAAGAATAATGACATAGAATTTCTTGAGTTTATCATAATACTCATTATTAACAACAGAATTAATCAGTGCCGAAAAAAACCACTATTTGACAAAGAGCACTGTCCATAATTTCATGCCATAGGTGTCCGTAATTACGCGATTTTACCGAGCGAGGCGAGGTTAGGATTCCGGGCCCAATCTATTCCTATTAAAAAAAGCAGAGCACTGCCATGGCGCCCACCACAAGTGTCATGGCGCAATGCTCATGGGGCACTGTGCATTTATTCAGGATGAATCCACACGAGCAGTTCCATGAGAATTGACATGGAGAAGTGCATCAACGTCCCGGCCGCGGAGCGGCCGGGGCGGCGCTAGTTACATAAAATATCCTATTCTAAAAGAGACACGCTGGACACAATCGATTATCTCGAAAATTTCGAAATCATGAACCTACGATTCCTTATTGGTCCATCTGAAGTGGCGCGAGATTACAAAGTCGTAACTCTCTTACAGAAATCGTGTCATACCCGCGCGCTGGCGCGCGGTACGGATTCTCGTTAGACAAAACCCGTGCGTTATGAATTTTTTGACTCGTGGGATTATAAAACTCGCCTTCGGCTCGTGTTACAACCCTCCCACTAGCCAAAAAATCGATTACACACTTGTTGCGTAATATACTGATATTCGCATTATAGAAATAGTATTTCGTTTACTAGATAACTCGTTAATCATTCAACAATATTGTATCAGGTATACCATTCCAAATAAATCAACCGATAACCCTTATCGCCTTTGAAATACATGGCAATTTTATGACAATTGAAGGATAAAAGAAATGATCTCACATTTTTTGCGGTTCGTCCAGTTTTCGATTTCGAGGGGATAATTTTTTCAATATTTTTCATATTTCCACAGTAATTCGAGTTATGCCCATCCGATTTAATTTATTGAGCTTCAAAAATTTCTAGTTATTACTTCCTGTGCAAATATTTCCAATAATTTTTTTTATTCCAAGACTTTTTCGAAAAAGATTTCGATAATGTATCGAAAAAATATGGAATATATGGGTACATAGCTAATTCATTTCATACTGACTGTAATGGAAGGCCATCAACACAATTTGAAATTTTTTGGCCAAACAAAAGAAGATTGCACGGAAAATAAATCTAAGGTGAACTCCAAATTGAATGAAGGCTTCAGAAATTCACTTTAACTGCTAAAATTACCGGAAAGAAAATGTTTTCATGAGTCTTGACCTAATACATGTGCGAAATGGTAAAAAATTCCAAAATTATGCTAACCAATAATGTAATTTAATAGAACTTGAGTTATTGAGAAAATAAAAGAAAAAATAATAATATCCCCAATATTTTCTAAATTGCAGACATAGATCTTGAAGCTCAGTAGTGATAGAAAAAATCAATACGAATTTTGAAAAGGTTGAAAATCACCGGTTCCTTCATTAAATATGAAATACCTGATATATATTACAATAATAATGATAATGAATCCATTCAAGTCCGTGCACGTGAAAAGGGACCACTTCATAGGATCTAGTTTCTACTTTGGGAAATATTCACGTTTTTCACTTTAAGCTTTGGATTTTCCATTGTTACCCTGGTTTTTTTTTATTTGATACGGTTTTTTCCATGCTATGGAATTGATTTTCAACTCCAAATATGAGGAATCTGAGCAAGATTTTTGGAGTATACATAGCTGTAATGCCGCTGAAGTAGGCCTTTTCATATGAACGGCCACACTTATCCAGACAGACTATTATTGATCAAGTAAAATAAAAAGATCAATTTCTGGATGACTCTACTGGTAGATACTGATTTATATAAATTAATTACCACTCTTGCTATTCGATCCAAATTATCAAGAAAATACTGCACAGAGTCACTCTGAAACAAGAAAAATGAGATTATTTTGATGTCTGCAGAGAACATGCTTCAAATATTCAAAAGAATAATAAATTTAAGGATTTTTTAGGCTCTGCAATGAAAGTTTGCCGCAGAAAATGATTTCCACAATGCGCTTAGTCAATTGTAACATTATTTGTTTTTCTTAACTATTCGTTGGTAGTATGGAAAATGAATGACTTGTACGCATACATGATTAAAAAAATACTATTGAGGTAAACGATTTAGGTGTTTATGAAATCTTGATGGTAACCAGTGAAAATGCAGTCGATTCTGATCGCGTTGGTAGCGCCGATAGAGAAATATATCAAAGAGATTTTACTCCAGAAATCCAAAGACAGATGGGAGACATCAAACACAATTGAATTATCTTATTTAAAATGACTTCTTTCATTCAGCAATTAGTTTTCTGTTGGGGAACAAGGGATTCTCCTCTGACTCACTTCTGTACTTCAGTTGTTCTAAGCACTAAGTGCTTTATGTGCCCGAGTAGTATTAGGATTGAGGAAATTATAATGTGCATATCACTGTTTAATGCATTTAATTTTTACATTTCAGTCAATGCCCTCATGGTTTTTCTCCATTAATTTTTCAAAGTGCGCCTTTTAGAATATTCAAGCAGTTTAGTTATTTATTTTACTTGCATAGTTAGAATTAACCAAATCGTAGCCAAATCCATGTTGAAAATAATTAAAATTTTGTCGTTCAGCGTCATGTTTCGAAGTTTCCAGGACACAGAATTTCGGGTGATCATGGTCGATAACAACTGAATGATTTTCGTTGATGAAAAGTTAATAACAATCGTAGTCGCACAAATTCCTTGTCCATCTTTCTCATTTTTTGAAGAATCGAATTTCTAAGAGATACATATCTCTAATTCAGTGATGAATTCATCACTGTCTTACTACTTTAAATAATTGTGTTGAAATTTCTTGTAATTACCAGTTGAAACTCTCTTCTTCGATCAAATGCCTTTCTGATTGACGCATCGTGCCACAAGCTCTGCAATGAGGGAACATAATGCAGAAATAATCTGGCATCCAGTATCATGGTATTCTCAAACTTCAGTAGCTGATAACCAATGTCGTAATTCTTTGGATTCTCCCACGGTATGTTTAGCTTATCACGCGCATCAACGAGAACTTTCATACCTTTTATTATGTTCTGGTATATAACATGCTGGTATTCCTTGACTAACTCCGGCTGTGAACAAAAACATACTCTCAATAGATGTTATTTATTTAATGTATTACTGTTGGTGTATTTCTTTTTAAAAAAGTAAGGAGGGCACCAATGCTATTGGAAACTATTATTTAAAATTCACTTATATCAGTTCTGTACGTTGTAAATTTGACTTCATGTTTCGTTTATTGATTTTATCAGTTAACAATACACAGCAAGATAATATCGATATATCGATAATTTTAGAGATAGAGACATCTATAAACTGAAAATTTATTTGATAATAAATATAGATAAATAGTTCCTTGCGTAAAATAACCTATTGAATTGGAATTTTTTTTTCCTCCCTTGGCCAGAGCCTTACATAAACTGAAGAAACGTGGAAAGTTTTAAATATTGATTTGAAACTTTCCGACGAGTTATCCTTGTCACCTCACGAATAGTTTTTTCGATTTTTTATTAATATTTCACGATAATGATGATAAATGATAATGATGTAATTATAATGCAATGTCTTCTGCCTACCCAACTACACCAAATCCTGGTAGCTGATAATTGACTGACTGTCAATCAGAAGTTTCGTTCAATGACAATAGTGGTGCTATCGGATTGAATGTGATAAACTCATTTTATGAATAAACTTTCCTGTCCTACTGTTGATCAAATTTAAAATGTTATTAAAAAATGGGCTTCCATTATGAGTGCTACTGATAAATTACGTAACGTACTGATGGTACGAACTGCAATTGCCGTGACCCTTGACGGGTCAACTTCACAACTTCTCGGTGAATTCTTCCTTCCACATTCGTTGATATTAAAAATTTAGTTGAAAAAATGTGTGAAAATTCATAAAACATAAAATTAAACTGCATGGAAAAAAAATTTCATTGGTTCATGTTTTCGTTTCGTGTCTGATTAGGTGTAAATTATCGAAAAACTAGGGATTCGCTGAATAAGTGAGTATACAATTTAATTATGTTTATGTTACATAATAACTTATAATGACTGCAATTTAAACAATTCAAGAGACATACTTTCGCACAGATGAAAGAACATTTCACATTTCACATGTTTTCTATGAATAATTAACAATCGGTGAAATGATTGCGCACACCTTCCTTGGTGTGTGCAATCATCCGAACCGAAATTCCTTCTTTGATTTTTGAGTTTATTTCCATAAATGCCTTCATTTGTTGAGCAGGTAATAATTTGTGAATTTATGAATGTGCTATGAAACGTATAAATAGCTTTGGCGTAAAAAAGTTCAAGATGTGAGACGGAAAGCAATCTATTGTTCTCTTGCAGATAACCAATCACTGAACAAAAGTATAGTATATGTAGTATATGTAGTATATTATGCACCCCCGGGAGAAAACACTTTTCGACCGTGGTGCATATGCTACTTTATGACCCATGGGATAAACAGCGATAGAGCCAAGCGAAACAAGGTTAGGATTGGGCTTTTTACACCCGCTGGGACATAAAACTAATTTTATAATCAATTAATTCTATCATATTTGAGAATTTCTATGACAAAATTAATGATTTCATAATTTTATTATTAATTACATTTCGACATGTTAAACCGATCTAATCATTTTTTCAAACCTTTCTTTTCGTTAAATATAACTCATTTACTGGTGTAGAAAAAGGGGAAACGTCGGAACTAGCAATAATTCTGGTGGACAGAATTGGCACAGAACCTACCTGTTCAGCTGAGCACTTTAGTTTAGGGGTTAGTCTTGTTCTCGCATGAAGTATCAGTTTATTATCGGTTACAATACTAGAATAATGGTGTTAGGCGATTGTTTTCGTAATAGGTGATCGCGCGATATCGCAAGTGGTGATCCAAACAGTCAGTCTCTGTTCATCCTGGGTTTAACCTCAAAAAATATTTTATAACAAATCCATATATACGTGGAGAGGCAAATGCTTAACATTGAAACAGTATAATGTCAGGTTAATCCGGCGTAATAATGGGTTTAAGCGAAGAAAAAAGAAGTGGCAAGCAAACAACTACGGATACTGGTGAGCTGCAGGAGTTAGGAGAAATTGCATCTACGAGTGACCCATCAGAAACTAACGGAAAAATTCAGCCAGATGACACTGAGAGAGAATCTCTCGCTGGAACTCTTGAATTTAGGCCTGAACACGGCCTGTTGGAAGCAACGGTGACAATAATATTAGCACACAGACATGGTCTGTGATTGTATGTGTATCGGGAACAGTTTAGCCTCTGAGGCGAATTGTAATTCAGTCGATCAAAATATATTCTAATAAGCAGACGCTGTTTACTTCTATCGACACCTTTTGAATCTCTCAGTTCCGTGCCTTATCTGTAAAATTATTCGTTGTTACCAACAGGTTATGGGCCATTAACGCGTATAATTAAAGTCAAAATAGAGTTTGACTGGGATAAGTTTTTTAGAGAAACTAGAGTTCTCTAAATAGAGGTAAAATTTGTCAAAAGGGTGAAGTATTTAAAGGTCAAAATAAAGTTTAAAGCGGCTCGAAGGTCGAAAGTTAAGGATGGCCGAAAACAGTACAGGGCATACTTTCGGAGTCGAAAAACTCAACTACACTAATTATCCGATATGGAAATTCCAAGTGGAAGCCTTGCTGATGAGGGAAAATACGTGGGAAACAGTGGATCCAGGAATCCCACCCACGGATGCAGCACCGCTTGCCTGGAATGGAATGAAAGGAACCAAAAAGCCTGCGGAACAATTAAGTTGCTAGTTGAGGAAGGTCAAAGGCACCACATTGCCGATAAGAAAACGGCGAAGGAAATGTGGGTGATTTTGAGGGAGCATAATGAAAAAGCTACCTTGTCAAATAAAGTGGCAATTTTAAGGCAAATCAACGATTTAAGGCTTAATGAGGAGGGGGACGCGGAGGAGCATTTGTCAACTCTGTTCAACCTAGTGAATCAGGTAACCGCACTAGGCAAGAAGTTTGAGGATGACGATATCGTGGCAATAATGCTCAGCAGCCTTCCAGAATCCTACGGCACTCTCGTGATGGCATTAGAAGCTAGGCCTGAAACTGATCTCACTCAGAGTCTAGTGAAAGGGAAAATAATTGCCGAATGGAAAAGGAGATCTAATTCGTCAAATACAGGGTTTCCAGAGTTGGCATTGAAGACGAATAATCCACATGAAGGTAATCAAAGTTGTTTCTTTTGTCACAAAAAGGGTCATCGAAAGGCAACTTGTGGAAAATTTCTACTCTGGAAACAAAAACACAACCCGAAAGGTGGGATACAAAAGGCATCCACAGCCCAAGTTGACCATAAGGTAAACAGGGACAGTTAGGATGGGAGTGGGACAGACTATGCTTTCATGGTGTCAAGCAAAACAACAACATCGACTTGGTATTTCGATTCCGGTGCCACTAAGCACATGACAAACGATGTGAATTTCTTCATAAAAATGAACACGAATTATCGATCGCAAGTACGTGTGGCAAATCAACGTGTGTGCGAAGTGTTTGGGATCGGTTCAGGTATAATCGAATGCCAGATTAATAATGGTGAAAAAAGAAAAATTAAACTTAATAATGTTTTGTACGTTCCATCTTTTGACAGTGGGTTGATATCGGTAAGGATTATTGACGAAAAGGGATTTAAAGTTACAATAAATAAAGGTCGGTTGACTGTGTATAAAGGAACAAGTGAATGTGTGATAGGTGACTTGAGAGGGCAAATGTACGAACTGAGACAAATAGATCGTGCTTACAGTGCCCGCGTCAAACATGCAGAAAATTGTATACACACTTGGCACAGGCGATTTGGGCATCGGGATCCAGTGGCTATTAAGGCGTTGGCGAATGGCGGTATTGCTGAGGGGATAAGAATAACAGAGTGCTGCATCAAGAAGCTCTGTGAAAGCTGTATACAGGGCAAGTTAGCACGTAAGTCTTTCCCAAAGGAGTCGTCAACGATTGCAGGAGAGCCAATGGACATTATACACACGGATTTGTGTGGGCCCATCAATACGGAAACTCCACGCGGTAGGAGGTATATGATGACGCTGATTGACGATTACAGCAGATTCACTTTTCTATTCCTGTTAAGGGAAAAATCTGAAGCAGGTCAGATTATTAAGAATTTTGTCGAGATGACGAAAACTCAATTTAATAAAGTTCCAAAGAGTTTCAGGTCAGATCGGGGAGGCGAGTATATGTCTCATGAGCTTGACAAATATTTCAAGAGTCAAGGAATCACGCATCAGATGACGGCACCGTACACTCCGCAGCAGAATGGAGTGGCGGAGCGCAAGAATCGCTCCTTGATAGAGGCCGCAAGGACGATGCTGATTGATGCGCGATTACCGAATTGCTATTGGGGGGAAGCGGTGGTAACAGCCGCGTATTTGCAAAACAGATCGCCAACGAGGTCAAGGGATAAGACTCAGCATGAACTGTGGTATGGAGTTAAGCCTGATGTGGGATTCAGGTGGGATTTCAGGATTTTTGGCTGCAAGGCTTATGCTCACGTGCCCGGACAGCTGAGGAGTAAACTTGACAAAAAGGTGAGGGAATGTGTCATGGTAGGGTATGCGACAGGAACCAAAGAATATCGACTGCTCAACAGAACCACAGGGAAAGTCATCATAAGTCGAGATACGGAGTTTATCGAGTTGGAAGAGGACCAGGAGCCAACCAGAACTCCAATAGTCCAGAAAAAGTAGTCTCGGATGATTTTCATAAGGAGTGACTGTTGGGACGAAGTAGAGCAGGAGGAAGATAATGAACCAGAGCTACCGGGGAATGATAACACAGCAGAAAATTCCGAAATAGTGGAGGTATCAGAGAATGATACATCAGGAACCACTGAAGGGAACGAGTCCAGTGAAAGTGAAGTACCATTGATTGACAAATTAAGGACAATTGGTACGCTCACTGGAAAAGACACTAGGAATCAAGAAGAGTCAAGCCTAGATGAAGATGACGAATCAGAAGATGATGAAGAGGATTCTGATTCAGTTGACAATCAGAGTGGAGAACCATCCACTTTCAAGCAAGCCATGGAAGGACCAGATGCTGAAAAATGGAAAAAGGCAATGAATGACGAGATGGATTCGTTAATTCAGAATGAAACATGGAATCTGGAATCTTATCTGTAAAATTATCCATTGTTACCAACAAGGCCATCATATCCTTGAATTGGAATCTTTAGATCGGCAAATGTTGTGCACGTACTGTAAAGCAGTATTGTCTTTTCAGTTCATTGAGGATTAAATACGCCGTAGATTGTGTTTCGTATTTACAATCAGATACCATAAGTATTTATTGCAAAATAGGATAATAACGAGCGAAAGTCACAGTGGTAGTGACAAACGCAACACACGGTATGATGTAAATACGAAAAGTGCTCTAGGTATGAGAAATTTCTATTGAACATATAAAATGTATAAAGAGTTTTTTTCCGATCATATTTTATGTATTTTTTTAAACTTTTTTCGGGGACTCCCTATGCTGGATGAGGCTGGACACATGTGGATAAATTTCTATCATACATGAATATACCCTGTAATGACTTTAAAGCCTTCAAGAGATACGAAACCGAAGTTGGAGTAGCAAGGGAAGCAGTTGTAAAGGAAATTTACGAAGATGCAACAGAGTTGGAGAGACAGATGGCCGTGGAACGGATGGATATTCTTCAGAAATCGTTGTAAATGTCATTCTACAGGTGAATACCAATAACGAAATATACGGATGAGTCAAGTTCATACAACACCCAGGTTGGATTTCGATGAAGGTCATGAGGGTATTATGAAAATGACGTTTCATTCCGAACTCGTCAAATATTTTTGAAAAACTCCTGACCTGGAAACTTTGACTTTCCTCATATCTTATCACTCCCGTTATTTTCCTCCACACAACCCACGCTTCGAAAAAAAAACCATGCAGATCCAATCTCCTTCCTTGGATTTTCCATCTCCTTCTACAGACCAAAAGGTTACAGAGACGACTTCATAATAAAAAAACAATCTAGGGATGTAACGAATGATCTGAACAAAGGGAAATCAGATTCGTCCAAAAAACCAGTTAATTTTGATAATGTGATTCGATTGATGGTTTCATACATAGGTTGGAGTACAAGAGGATATGGTCGTAGTTACGACAGTTTAATCGGTTTTGACGCAATTATTGGTCATTTCTCTGGAATGGGCCTAGATTATTCTACGTGTAACCGAAAGGGGAAGAAGTGTGAGCCTATAGATGATTGTTCTGAAGATGACTATCGTTAAAATTTATAGATAATATATATAGATAAGACTCGGTCATTAAATTCGACTAGTGTGTCAGCTAGTCAGTAATATTGGGGTGTAATATGCAGCAGTGAGTCAAAATTATCGGATATCTTCCAATTGGTACGTTGCAATGAGTGGGTCAAATTCTTCTATGAAATTTGGAACACTCGTTTCTACGCAGTGAAGTTTGAGGTAAATATCCAATTAATTTTGGAGCACGAGTGGTATTAGACAGATTATTTTTCCACTCGGATTTCGGCCAAGCAGAGTGCCGTGAAGAGCCTCCAGATATAATTTCACACATACAGAATGTCAAAAAGTGTCTTTACATTGAGTCCTTCACTATTCTCATCCCTAGCGGCGCATCACCATTCGTTTGTTGATAAATATTTTCTAAAAAATCATCTGCAGTAACTGGCCGTTCAATCATGTTAAGAATAACCTAATTTTTGGTCTCACATAGAATCTTCATTGTGAAATGGCTTGAAAGATGATAATCATTTGAAAAGCTACTAACGAATACCCATTGGAAATTTTTAAGAAACATCCGATGAAATTTGCTATGATAGCCTCAAATACTTTGCACTGATTGGCTGAAATCCGAATTCGAAAAATAATCAAATACATATTTCTCAGTAGTTATTTTCAGACCTAGCTGTGGAAAACCGATCATTTCCACAGGCAAAGTTTACATCCGCGTCGAAAGCATGTTGCAAGGATGATGTTTTGCACGGCGCGGCTTTAACCTAATTTTTCCAGACGCAGGATCTAGAAAACGTGATTTTCCGAACGCGTAGCGTGTTTTCCCCGGCTAGACCTGAAAATAATTTCTTCAACTTACGAAATAGGTAAGTCACCGACATCCTCAAGTCCTACTCTCATCTCTAAGGCGCATTCTTATACCAAAACAATAACGTGATCGCTTTCTTCCATAGATTCAAACAGCTTTACTCATATGACCATGAATTTGCCTTTAGAGCAAAAAAAAAATATTACTAAATAGTATTTTATGCCATAAGCATCCAGTGGCACGCGATTCTAACCTTTACTTCGCTAGATACAATCGCAGATTCTGGGCCCAATGATATCAAATACTATACGGAACTTGTGCGTTATGGTTTTTTTTGACTCGTGGGAAGTTTGTAAAACAAGCCGAAGGTGAAGGCTATAATACACTGGCTGCATAATAAACCAATAACTTTATGATGAATTTAAAGATACGATAGAAATTTGAATTGATTTTCTTCGCCACGTTCTCTGCAAAAACTGATCATTTCTTTTGTTCAGAATCAAATATACTATTCTATCATTTGATATCGGTCAAACTACTAATGCTAAACTAAAAAACAAAAGTGTTTTGTCACAAAAAGATATAAGCGAGAGTTGGGGATTTCTTTTCAAAATTCTTAGTTTAATTGTGGTAATTGAAAAAAAAGTGTAAAAACTTTACCAAGCGCTTCACCCCGTTTCTACTATGCGAATGCTATCTAGAAAGGTTAACTTTTTTTCTTCGAAACATACAGAGGAAATTTTTTTCAAAGTTCGATTTCTGATCATGTTGAGTACAACGTTAATCATTCTGCCTATCAAATTGAACGTGGGGTAGAATATGTTAGGACATAATGGACATTTCTATTCCTTCTAGAGAAATGCTCATCGCTCAGAGATAAATTTATTTAATCGATTAGGCTCTGCTAGTTTAGCACTAGTAGTTGGACCGATATCTGATGGTACAGAAATTGAAAAATGTGCTTAATTGCTCAGAAAATCGTTTGCATGTATATAATAGATAGAATAAATTACAATTGATTTGATTTTTCGCTCGTGAATTGATAGCAATTTCAAGCGATTCTTTTTGTTTTAAGGCCCGCGTAGACTCTCTATCGAACGTCGACTTTTGTTTAAATTTTATTTTTTTAACCTAGAATACATTAAAATTTGGGATCAATTTTGTTTTGCGGGAAGCACTTGAATGGACATGAAAAAACAATGAAAAAAAAGAGGAAAAATTATTGAAGGGCGCTAAAGATCGATATTATTTAAAGGGGACTTACTAAGTTTGCTAAACAATAATAAAAAATACGTAGCTTACTATTACATCTAGCTGCCACTCAATCTTCTGGAGAGCAATGGTAAGTTGCATAATTTTTATTATTTTTTTGTAAACTTGGTAGATCCGTTTTGAACAATATCACAATTTGAAGAATAGCTCCCGCTACACAAATTTGATCCCATATTTCAATGTATTTTAAACTAAAAAAATGAAATTCAAACAAAAGATGACATTCGCTAGATAGTCCACCCGGGCCTTGAATCAAAATTTACAAATCATTGAAAATTACGATAACATTTAATAAAACTGTATTACATTCCGAGTTACGATTTCCTCGCAATCTGATCTATTGAAAATCAACTTTTTCATTGTAATTAAAAATTAAAACCGCAAACTTTTATCATTGCTTGTCAAGAAATTCCATTTCAGTTATCTAAATTGAATTTTAATGGACACATTTTTTTTTTTAATTTTCCTCAAGAAAATTTTTGTTCGACAATGCTTGTAAAACTTGCACTCACAGTATAGATTTACTTGAAATCAATTTACGTCATTACAGAACTTAATTCGCATCAGGAAATAATTTTTATTAAAAAAACATTCGTGGAACTTAAAGGCTAACATTCGGCAATTTTCATTTACAAAAAAAAGTCGAATCCCCTCCATCTCTCCCTCAAAAAACCCTTAAGGCAATGAAAATCTCTCACGCGCTCAGATCTGTACCAAAATTTCATTTTTACAGAGAGAAAGGATTGAAAACGTGTGTCCAAAAGCTCTCGAATATTCGTAATGATTACTATTAACACGTCAATGAAAGTAACTAAATACTCACTTCAAATTTGATACCATGAATAATTCGCATCTGTTTCAGAAACGTTGATTTACCACTTTCACCTGCGCCAAGTAACAGTAGCTTGACCTGTCTTCTAAAAGCCTGCCTATCCTTCTCAAGCATTCTATCAATCTCCTGGCTCTTATACCTCTGTTCAATCTCCTCAGGACTGAATTTGAATCTCAAACAACAAGTACATGACCACGTTAAGGAGCCCGCCATCTTAGACCCCTTCAATCTCCGTTCACAAAAATAATTAAGATTTTTTTTTATCACTATTTTACATCTCAGTGATTTTCATACTGTAGTGCACGTTGTTTTTAATTTTTTTTTTAGCATTTTTTTAGAATTATCTCCCAAGCGTTTGCAAAAGAGAAAAAGATGATTATTTCAGGTGTATTTAATGTCTTTTAGGGTACATGCAGGTGACTTCATGTCGACATTTCACCTGGGCGTTCACTTTCACATATTAATCAATTTACGTTTCAAAGATTCCACATTTTTTTACCAATTTATTTTTCAGAATATTCCAAATTCCTACGATGAGAGATAACCCAATTCCAACTTAGATATTTTCTCATCCATTTTTATGTTGGATTAATGACATGAATCTTCTTTGATGTCTTGAGGATGTAGAAATTATTGAATAATCACTTCGGGGTTAATTGAAGGAAATTCAGTGAGTTTAAAGGTTGAATGCATTAGATTGTCCCGAAGTCATTGGTTTATGTTGTGGAAGTTTAATTTTTTTTTGCACGACCCTGATATGAATTCTGTGTCTCTTTTTTTCAATGGTTTTACAACTTCACTTTATGACTTTACTGTCTCCAGGGCGTCCGGTTTTCTCCGACACGTCAGAAGTAATATTACTCTTTTTTTCTTTCACTGCTTTCTCCACGGCTATTATTACGAGTTGAGTAATTTTTCAAAATTTGTCACTAGAATGAGAACATAAGCACTGCATTTGTTGGGGTAATTCGTTGAAATTTTGCATTATACTCCATTTATTATACATAATAATCTATGTGTGATAAAAATCGTGTATCTGCCGCACCGCAAACGAGAAAACCGGAGTCTCCCTCTTGTTCTGCTCCCCACTACTGCATTGTTGTCAGTCACACGAGCATAACGTCATGCATTTTGCTGCTATCATGATCATGTTCAACCATAAGAGGGATAGCCCACAGGATAGCGCACGATGTACTCTGTTTTATTGACTGAGTTCGCCACGTATCACACAGACCGCATCAGAGTTTCCAGATGGTGGTTCTTTTAAGAGTGTGGCTATTCGTACGGAAGGAAGTTTGAAGTGAGCATTGCGTCTTTTTTGAGTGGATGTAAGCTACATTTAATCTGACTTTTCACTCGCTTCAAAGAAATTCAAAGAGCAACAATCCCTACAACTAACTTCAAGACAACGGAGCTCGGTAGGTACAAGAAATGTGAAATAAAAAAGTGGGAAGATGAGGATGAGCCGGATAGTTCAGTTGGAAGAGCACCCAATGCATAATTAAAAGGAGCTGGGTTCAAATTCTCCATTTTTCCAATCAATTTTTCGGTGACTGGTAGTTGGCACCACATAATTGAAAATTCATTAGTTTTTTTATTTAGATCAATAGTAGGACCTTTGTACATCATTGTAATACAATTAAAAAATTTTGTAGACCCTTCATTATTTTTTAATTAATTAAACAAAATAATGATGGGAAGTTAGCACCCCACCCCACTAATTTTT